CCCGCCTGAGTCTGCGGAACCGCGGTCGCGAACTCGCCCGCCCGGGAGCGAAGGGAGAGGGGGCGTGCGTGCGTGCGTGCGTGCCTGCGTCTGCCGGCCGGGCTGCCTGGCGCTGGCACCTGCACCTCCAGGGAGGGGAATCGGGATGGGGTGAGACGGTGAGCAGGGCACGCATGCGCGCTCGGGGAACGCGCGGGGGGGAACCCCCGCCGCACCTGCGAGCCTCAACGCGCCTGCGCACTTGTTTCTGCGGGAGAAAGGGAAGAGGCGAGGCACCTGCCATGGCAGGGACATTGGACGCTCGCCAATGCGCTTGCGCCTGGAGGAAAGGTGAAATACCTGCTGGCCTGGATTCCAAAGATGGGTAGAGGAAGGCGCATGCGCGTTTGGTTACGCCATAGACTATTAATTGGGGGGAAATTCTGCTTGCAGATGGGATGCAGTTGGAAAGACAACTTTCAGAAGAAGGACTCTTCTCTGTTTAATTCCTCCTTTCGCACCCCGTCTTTTCTCCAAGAGGCCAACAAGGAATGCGTGGTTTTTCTCTCTCGTTTTATCCTGCAACAGCTCCCAAGGAGCTTCTTGGCTAAAGGGGTGTCAGTGCAGAAACGTTGACCCTAAGGAGCCCCATAGGCCAGCCCTGACCAGGGTGGGCCTTAGGATGCAGACCCCAGGACCTGGAACCCCGTTGCGTTCAACCAGAGTTGTATGGATGGGGTGGGTTGAATAAACCACAATTGGCCCAGTTTATCAACACACGTGACCACATTTCAGCCAAGGGTGATGTGAGAATCCAGCCGAAAGATTCATCCAAACTTAACGTGGCTGTTGCCTGGAAAGGGCTCCCCGTCCTTGCGACCACCATCGTGCTGTGGAACGAAGATGAGCCACAGCAGAGCACTGTTTAATTAAAAAGGACCAGAAATGCTGGGAGACCATATGGAAGATTTATGGAAGAACAAGAGGGCTGTGGAAAGTCATCGCTGGATAAATGACGAATTATGGCGACAAACTGTTGGTATTTGCTAATAGTAAAACATTTTCTTGCAACCTGAGGCTGTTGTAAGAAGGCCTGTGTATATATTGTGCATGTATATTTGTGCAGCCTCCATGTATCCTGTGTAAAGGTAAAGACTCTTGAGCTATGGCTGTAGTAATATTTATTATGCACTTATAACTAAGCACAGAACATAGTCTAAAGCAGTGTTGTCCAAACTTGGCCACTTTAAGATGAGTGGACTTCAACTCCCAGAATGGCTGGCTGGGGAATTCTGGGAGTTGAAGTCCATTCATCTTAAAGTGGCCAAGTTTGGACAACACTGGTCTAAAGCAACAACGGATATACATGACAATCAGTTATAACATCTGTAGATTAATCATTTCAACCACGTTGGTGTGTATAAAATGTACAGAGGGGAATCAGACTTAATTTTCTTCAGTTACTGAATGGAGTTCAGTCTGAACCCTGTAATTGGCTCATACCCTAATACTAACTGACTCACTTCGTTAAACGTTTGTATTTTTATACAGTCAACAAAAATGCCTTTTTTGAATAAAATGTATCATTGTAGAATAGTCAAGCACAGGGGTCCAAATCAAAAGGAATATTCATGCAGGAAGATAAAATACGTTTATTATTAAGAAATTAAATTAGCCAAAAATTAAGATATAAAAGAAGATATCTCTAGATTAATAAGTACTTACATTTTTCCTGGTCCTGTGATGGTTTTAGGTACAACTGAAAAATTTTAAACCAACATTCCAGAAAGTATAGCCTTATCTTGGTATTTACAATCTCAGTTTATTATTTATTTATTTTCAAATTTATATACGCCACCCATCTCACTGTACAAGTGACTCAAGGCGGCATTACAAGTAAAAGACTATAAAATCTTAGAAAAAATACACAAATTAAAAACTACAAAAGGTTTCTTTGTTACGTATTTTTAAATAGATATAGATATATAAAACAAGCCACTAAACTAAAAGGTCCATGAATAATAATATTAACCTCTATACACTCAAAGTAACAGGTACGAATTTATTCATGTTACAGCAACTTCACAAGGGTCCCTGAAAAGAAGCCCTTTTTCATTTTTTAAACTTTAATCCAGTATAATTCATTGCAGTAGAATGAATATAGACTAAACAGCCTTCTCCAATCTGATGCCTTTCAGTTCTGTAGGGATCAACTCCCAGAATTCCCAGCCAGTAAGGACCATATTTGGAGTCTGACAAAGCAAAATAGAGCATTGAAGCTTTTGGTATTGGAGAAGACTCCTGAGAATACCACAGACAGCGAAGAAAACATACAAGTGGATCATTGAACAAATCAGAGTTCTCATTCAAGGCACAAATGACCAGACTCAAATTATCATACTTTGGGCATATTATGTGAACATCTAGTTCTCTGGAGCAGTCTATAATGCTGGGAAAAGTGGATGGAAAGTGAAGAAGAGGACAACAGCATCAAGATGGGATGGAGGAACTCAGTTACAGCAGTGATAGGTGCATGGTTGGAAGACCTGAAGGAACAGCTTGGGGACAGATCATCCCAGAGAAAATCTATCTGTGTGATCGCTCAGTGTTGACACTGTCTTGATGGTACAAAATCAAACTCTGAGAATTGCAGTTCCCATGTTTCTGCATGATTTAGAAGAACATGCTAAAACATATCCTGACATTTTTAAAACAACCAAATACAAGCAATTTAACTAGAATGGTGAAACCTTCAAATTCTAATTATTTTAACAAGCCAAGATCCTGGGAAGTTAATATTGTTAACAATGGTCTTAGAATGTATAAGGAATATTTTAAAAAATGAGCATTATATTAGAAAAAGATTGGTATCTCTAACAGCACTAATGAGGAAGAAGATTTTCCAGTAATAAATAAAGTAAAACAAAGACACCATCAATTTGAGCTCAACTCTTGGAGATTGCATTCTTGTACTTTTCTTAGCAGTGTTATGAAAATTATTTATCATTGCTATGGAAGGCAATAAATTGCCATAATCTTAGATGTTTTCTCAGTTTCCCAATCTAGTCAACAATCCTGGATTTCTCAGAACATTCTGCGCTCAAATACTAACCAGGTCTGATCATGTTTATCTTCTGAGATCAATCAAGATCATCTAGATACTTGATTCGATTAAAAAAAATGTCTAAAACCAAGCCTTCATTCTGGTTTGATTAAAAAGGGCATCTAAATAATGCCATGATCAATAAGTCTGTTTTTTGTTTGTTTGTATGTGGGGGTATTAACTATTTCTATTATAAGACAGAATTTGGATGCTTTCTAAGAGGACTGTCCCCTGCTTTTTGAGGATATTTATTATTTAAAACAAAAGATTTGCTCCCATTTCTATCCAGGTAGTGTTATATAAGCTATATCAGCAGCTCGTTTACCTGCTTATCCAAGTTCACCTGCAAGAAACATCTTATTGTGCACAAAACTGATTTCAAAAACAAATAAGACATTTCAGTTCTTCAGAACAGCCGAACAATGACTAGAAGGGTACCATACTTCAGCAACTATAACAGCATATTAAAAGAGAAACAGCTCAATGTTGAATAGCTGAATTAATATATATCTTGAAGTTTGACTCTTATCTGGGTGTAGACAGAGATAATGGTTTCCTGTTGCATTATAGAGACTAATAAACATACAAATCTAGAATAATTATCACAAGCTTGTTCTGTTGTGAATGGTAATTGTCCCTTACTTTGCATATATTTAAGCTACAATACAGTTATCTCAGGGGATTTATTTTCCATTTTATCTTCAGTGGTTGCAGTTTTTTCCCCTTCTCTATCCACTGGGCTAGATCCAGAATTAGAATAAAAGGGCTATGTCTTCCTTCCAAGAACTGGTAAGGGAGGGGAAGGTACTGATTGTAAAGGAGAGGGAGGCCCTTCCCAACAAGGAAAGAATGGTGAAATGCCAGGTGTACTTGAGTGGCCAGTTGCAGACAGAAGGCCACTGAGTTGATCTCATCTATTTCAGGGAAGGGGCCAATAAACTTGGAGTCTAGTTTCGTGGATTGACAGGAGGAAGGTAAAAAAATAGTGGACAGCCATACCAAATCCCCCAGATCAATCTTGGTGCCTTGTTGCCTATGTGCATTTGCTGTATGTTTGTATGCAGTCTTAACCAAATCTAACTCTTCTTTTAAGAAAAGCTGCACCACCTCTCTCTCTCGGAGAAAATCAGAGGCTTGTGGAACTATAAAGTCAGGGGTTTTAGAGGGCAAATGACAATGATTTTATTCATAAACTGCTTGAAAGGGTGACACCCTGATAAGAATATGCAAATTCTGCAAAGGTCAACAAATCGGACCAATTGTCCTATTGACAGGAAATGTAACAACCCAGAAATCATTCCAGCATATTATTAATTTTCTCTGTCCATTTGATTGCAGGTGATGAGATGATGACGAATACGAGTACTGTATTCAGCAAGTAGAAGAGGGCTTTCTAGAACCTGGATGTAAACTGAGAGCCCTGATCCGAGATCACAACAGATAGGAATGCTGAATTGGTATTCTACGCCAAGAATGCCTTCCCCGAGATCAGCCTGCCCCCTGCCTCCCACCATATTTCCCCTGCCTATCACCACAGTGATGTTACTGTCTGCCCTTACTCCCCTGGCCTATTAGCTTCCCCAGCCTCTGTCCTGCCTCCCCCAGAAAAAGGGCCTCCATTCATATCTCAATACTATAACCATTGCACCAGCTATCTGACTGGTTTTGTGGGACGCTTCTGCAACTCAGTGTCCTTAGACATGAA